AAACTATAGTCGCACGTGATGATGAGGTAGAGCGATTAAAAGCGGAATGCAGGAGCTTGAGGGAACCACCTGAAGTTAAAGCAGGAGGCGTTAGTCGCTCAAGATCATCCAGTACTTGAGAGAGATGGTAAATTCTATCATTTGAAGCGGAAAACAAATTTACAAAAGCAAGTCACTAGTACGCCTTCGAAAGAAGAATAACAATTTTTTGACGTGGCGGAAGACTTACCAGGAATAGAGAATGATAGTAATTCTTCGTCTAGTTTTTCAAGTAATAGGGTTGAGACTTTTAACAAATTAAATTTAAAATTTAGTGAACGATAGAAGATACTTTATTTGTTTCGCAATTTAGATTAGCCCTTTCAATTAATTACGTAGCAAATGAAAACCGCTACAGCTTGGTAAAGTAAATTGTTATAATTTGTACTTTAATTTTAATGTTCTTTATTATTAAACTAATAAAGTATTTCGTTTACCACTAAAAAAACAAACTGTTTAAATTTCTTGGATATACGTACTCTAACGAGGAGATACATCTACATTACATGTTTTAATGTACAGTATGTACGTAAATAAATGATTTATATTATGACCACTGTAAGCGGTTATATAATGTTAAATCTGGGATCGAGTATAAACCATTCTTTTTGGGAGTTAGGACTATTAAAAGTTGTTAGTCAATAATTGGCTAACAATTTTATTTTTTTATTAGAAAATAGAAGATAAGATATTCGAAGATAGATTCTCTCCCTGTTTAATATACTTTTAATGATGGTCAATGTTTTTCATAATTTTAATGATACCACCCTTCCAGTACAATAACGTTTTCCGGTACTGATAAAGCTTTATTGCTTTGTCACCCATTTAGATCACCTTTTTATGTAAAAAAATTTGTATAAAATAAATATTTAATAATAAAAGATGAAGAAAATATTTAAACTGTTGTTCTCGAAAGGAGGCGGATCGTCGGGACTCGGGAGAGATAAACGTTAATAAACGTATAGTGGATTGATTGGGTTCTATAATTTATTAATTCTGTTAAAAAAAATATATATATTATTTATATTAACTGTCAGTTTATATATTGTTTTCCAGATTATTATAATATTCGGTAAGCATATATTCTAATTTTTTATAGCTTTATATAAAGTTTCTTCATCACAAGTTTCCAATAGTAAATATCGTATAAAACGATGATATTTCAAGTGGAATACTTACATTATATGCACGTAATTCCAGATTGCCAATATTTACGATTTTTTAAGAATTTCTTCTTCGTTTGTAACTGAAGTTTTCCAACCTTGTCTATTTTTTAAATGAGGTTGAAATAAAGGAATTACTAATATTATAATATTTTATAAAAAAACCATCAGTATCTGAATTAAAATTTTAATTTTACATTTTTTAAACTCAAATTCCAACGATTCGAAATCAAGTATTATTTGTTCGTTTTTGCATTTACCGAATTGTTGATTTATACATCTACTATAAGGAATTTTTATTTGCAATTTTTTTCGCGCGAGTAACTTTTTATTCATATGACCGATATGACGTAATTAAGTCAAAGTGTTATTGTACATCGTCACGAGATGGTGAGACCTTTACATAGAAGTATATAGTTTTTCGGACTTAATGGGTTATATTATTTATGAATAAATAATTTTTATAAGAAATATTTAAAGGTCTCATTTTTTTTAGAATCAATTCAACGGATACCCCCCTGGATCACTTTTTTATTATTAATACATGGAGTACATGTGGGAAGTTTCGAGAATAAATTACTTGTTCCCGCACATTTATTAAGTTCCATAAAATCGAAAAAATATATTAGCATTATGGTATTGTCTCCATTGAAAAGCATTTTTTGTATTTCTTCGAAAGAGACGATTGTAAATATACGCGAGTAAAAGTAAATTACTAGGTAAATCCGCTTTAGAAGACCCTATTTTCGGAAGTAAATCGTAATTAATAAATTTTTTCTATTGAGTCCCTTAATTAAAATGTCGAACTTGACGACTTATAATTAAAAAAAATTAAACTCCCATTTTTTTTTAATTAAAACGTCGAACTTGACGTATCTCAAACTAGTTCAATTAAGATTATTGATAAAGGTGCTAGAGTTATCAATGCTCCTGTCTACTAAAGGTGTGAATTTTTTTTAAAAAAAAAATTGCTTGTACTTTTTAAATACGATGAGATCCAATTCTTTGTAATAACTATATATGGGTCTTTGTAATACCAAAAATACCTTTTCTCTTCGCGTAATTCTTGCTTGAGTTGCGGTTTGATAAAATTTTTGGATGAATTTGATGTACAGTATCTCACGTCTGAGGACTTGTACTTTTAATCACAAAACTTTAATGTATAACCCTTGGAATGTTCAGCAAAAGTCCGGCTGGTGATGACCCATTATAATTGTTGCATGGCATACTGGCATACTGTATGTATATATCTTTCAACGTATTTCCATAATAAATCTGAATAATTTATAAAAAAATGACATAGTAAATGCAATTTTTATATTACAATAATTTCATCCAAAACAATGATTATGTTTGTTAAGCGTAAAAAGCGTTGCATTTCATTCATATCTTTAGAAGAAATTCAACAATAATTCTCCACTATATGCAATTTTTTTTAACGTATAATACAATGATGCAATGACTTATTATGACATTGACAAAAAAAAGATAATTTTTTTTTTAAATTAAATGCATCTCTCTTTATTTTCTTAGTTATAACGTTATTTATTCTAATTTATAATATAAATACTAATATATAAAGAATCTATAAATAAGTTTTATTATGTTCCCCTTACATGTTTTTTTTAAGTTGTGATTTTGCAAAAACAACAAATATATATTATATATCTGATATATGTATATATATATATAAGAAAGTGAGAAATGCATAAAAAATCAACCCATCAAAAAAAAGGTATACCGAATCAACGAAAAAAAAAAAAAAAAAAAAAAAAAAAAAAAAAAAA